GTTTTGTTTCATTCACACCTGCAGATTTAGGCTGAGTTGTTCTTTCAAACTGAAAACACTCCACCTTGTGATATCATGTGGTAATATAGGGAATGCTCCTCCACTGTGTTTTTAAACTCCATACACCAAGAAGAACAGAGCATTCTGATCTTTGGAGATGCAGCCAGACTAATAATCCAAGATTACTCAAACATGTGTGAATGAAACAAAACATGACTCCAGATCTGCTTTTAAGGAGGTAACAACATTCTAACAGCTTTAACGGTGCATTGTGTAACTTCTCTGGTGGAGGGTCCATCACCTGCTTGTTTCTACGGAGATGTCATTGCTGTACCTGGAATGCTCCACAGTGTGACATTAAACTTCTTTACCTTACATTTATTCAATTACAGGTGGTTTAATAGCTCAGAAATAGCTAGAAAAACAGGCATTTTAACTGTGAGCGGTGTGGGCGCCTCTCCACAGATCTGACCTGCAACTTGGTTTAGTTTGGTCTGAGATAGAAAGGTTGGTAACACTTTAGTGACCACATATTAATAGCTAACTAAGTGGTAACTGGTATGTTAATTAGCTATTACTTAGCTATTAGTTGGTATTAATCAAACATTTATTAATGCTTATTAAGATTTCAGTGTATGCACAAAAACATCTGTTCTAATCTCCACTATTTTAATGGGAAGAAAATAGTTAATGGGTTAGTACTCTCAAAATAGACTCGTCTTAGACAAAAATGCATTGACAGTACTTTATAAATACTAACAAAGATGTAATTAAGTACCTGTTATACATTTTACTATTAACTAGCTCTTAATATGTGGTCCCTAATCTCAAGTGTTACCGAAAGGTTTTATACCACACTGTGAAAAATTATGGACAAAACAAAAACATCTGAATGGAGAAAGTGTTTGGTACTTTTAATCTCACAACAATCCATCTTGTGTATATAGCATCTTTAAGTGCCACTCTTTGAATACTATCACACAAAATAAGCACAGATTTGAACAGTTTTAAAAGTTCACAGCAGTCTGAAGCCAACTATTTTCTGTATAGTCTAAACATGACCTTTTCCAGCATCCTAACATCCCCCAGCCTAGTGTATTTTATATTCTAACTCTCTCTCGCTCGTCTAAATAGTTGCCTGTCACAGCGTCTCCAGCCCTGATTAACTGGCACATACCAAAGCAGCGCCCATGCCCCTCACCTAAAGCACCTGGGACTCGCTCCAACACGAAAATGAATGAAATTTAATAAACACAGCTAAAATGTGAAATGGCTTTTTTTGTGATTTAGTAGAGGTACACACTTCAGAGCTGGCTCTCGCGCAGTCTAAGCAGAGTTACATTTGTGTCAGGGCAAGTAAAAAATTCTTCAGACTGTTGTATTACGCAGGTATTTCGATGCACTCATCCTGAAAAAATCCTCTTTTCCTGTATTTAATCGTAATCTAATAGTAATAGTATTAACATTGTTTGCAACTTTCTAAAGTTATTCGTTACTTTCCCAATACATACTTATAGGCTTATTAAATAAGTTTTCTTCCTCTCACTCCTTTTTGGGTATTTTTTTTTCTTTTTGTTGTAGTTATTTCTATTATGATTTTACTAATGTTACATGTTCCACTGTATAAGAATGTAAATCTCATGTTTAACACCCAAATCCTGCAGATTTAAGCCATGTTTTTCCCTCAAACAGAAAATGTGCTGTTACACCTTGTGATGTCATGTGGTAATACAAGAAGCACTCCACAGTTTTTCAGTAGAATCATTAGGATGATTTCATCACTAAAATTGCCAATCTTTAAAGATAGAGGGTAGTTGTCAACTTGTAAACTACTCTACTAACTCATGACATCACAAGGTGAAACAGAGCATTTTGAACTTTGGAGATTGGACATTCTAACATGATGAAACACTCACAAGAGTCAGTTTTGTAATATAGGACCTTTAAAGCTGCCATCTGTAAATGTATGAGATTATTTAACCGGTAGATGTCAGATGTGAGACCTGTTCCCTGCTCCACTCACCTGGCCTTTGTTCAGACTCACCTGAGCTCTCTGCTCATCTTCTGTCAGGTCAGAGCTCTGACACTGTCACACAGCACTAATGTAGACAGCATCTAGTGATGATATGTGAGAATACACCAGAGGCAGGCCCACCAGTCTAATTACAAATGAGCTTTAAGTACTTTCACAGGCCAGCGCAAAGTTTGTCATTAAAGTAATGCTAATGTTAATAGTACACTTCCTGATTTATTATTAGATGCAGAGAGCACACAGTGGTTTCATTTAAACAATGGCAAAATGGAAAAAATCAGGTGTAGCAGTAATAAAAGAAATGGGTCCATTGACTTTCTGTTAAAAATGGCATAGCCGCTGCCCCTGCCTCTTCAAAGTGACATTTCACTGTAGCAAGCAGTGGGTTTTCATTTACACTCAATGGAAAAAAACAACAACTGAGTAACTTTAGAAATAGAGCTCCCCCCACAGCTCCACTGTGAGAATACACAGAGAACATGCTATTTTTGTTTTACTGAAATAAAGCTGTATAATCACATACCCAAATATATCATATAAAAGAACCAGGATTTCCCACGAGACAGCAGGAGGAGACATGTCACTGACACTTTCAAGGTCTTATATGGCACAGAAGTGTCTTCTGTTTCATAATCAAACACAGACCTGGTGTTGTGTTTGTTTCATTCACACGTTTGAGGAATCCTGCATTATTAGTTTGTCTACATCTCCAAAGCTCCAAATGCTCAGTTACACCTTGTGATGTCATGAAACTGCAGCTTTCAAGTTAACAATTTACTTTTACTTTTCGTTCAGTAGAGATTAGTGGTTCCAGAACTGAAATTATCCAAATGATTCTAGTGAAGGTTTGGAGTTTAAATACACAGTTCTTTCTGTTTTAAAGAAGAACTCTAAAGGCTAAATATGCAGGATTTGTGAGTCAAACATGTGTGAATGAAACAAAACACAAGTCCATGTATGTTTTTGATGAGGAAACAACATTAGAACACAGAATAGCATGGCCCTTTAAACACAAAAATACGTATTTATTACAGATATTTAATGATGTAAAATATTCCTTAGTTCTGCTTTAAGAAAGATCTACATCTGTATACAAAGAAGTCTATATTTGAAGCACTGAATAGATCCAGGGCTGTGGGAGGGTGCGAGACAATAACCCAAACCTGTGAATCACTCTAAAACAACGAAGGGAAATACATTAGATTCCTCTGCTCATTTTTGCATAATGTCCCTATTAACCCCTAACCCGTAGCATCTGCAGTATTTATTTGTGTTCAATTAAGATGAGCGTTTCCTAATGATTAAAAATACCAGTAAACTGTACCAAAGGTATGAAGAGGCCATAGCAATAATTGGCGTTCACTAAATTCACATGAAGTAATTAGACTGCATGGTTCAGTTAAATATGAGCGGATGTCCATTATGAGATACTACTGCAACACAAAGAAAATACTGCATTGATTTAGTCTTGTCAATACTGTGGCTGTTACTAACATTCTTTGTCAATAGACTTTTAAAGCAGGCAATTAAATGTTTGCACAAAACCCAAACTGAGAAAATTGAGTTCTTTGTGGACACCATGACAAGACATGATAATAGTGTCTGAGTTAAAACACAGAATACAGAAATAAAAATGTGAAATCTTTCGTCACTGTGTTTTTATTCACTAAAGTTTGGGTTTAACAGTGGAATTTACTGGACCTATACACTACTGTTAAAGAACACTAGGGGTGGGATGAGACACAATTTCCATGAGAATGAAACGAGAAGAGATTTCAACATAATTCATAATGAAGACATTTTGTGATTCAGTCCACAGTTTTGGCCTCATCATTTATGGTAATATTTTTGCCTTTTTTTGTCCAATCCAAATGTAAAAACATGGGGGGAAAAATCTCACAGGATTGAGAATTTTTCTCATGTGTGTACAAGTTAGTGGCAGGTTTTGTGGTATGGGATCTTGCCCCTTCCCTAAAGGACACATATTATGCCGAATGGAATGAACATTTCTGAGCTTTACATCATTTAACATTGTTCCTTCATCAAAACAAAGCTGGAGATGTATTTGGTTTCTTTCACATTGGTTTCAGTACTCTTCTGTAAAAAGTCCATTGCCTTTAAGCCTCAGAAAATATACAGTTTAAATTTTCCCAGGATTGTTGCTTTATAGATAGAAACAGTTTTTAAGTGAAGTCCTGCCAGTTAAAAAGGGGGGTGTGGCAAAAGCTCTCAAAACTATTACACATCTCTCTGCATCTGATCACTCGCAAAGTTATAACTGCCAAGGAGTTCACGCAATATCTACTTTTAATATACTACTACTACTATTATCAACTAAATACTCCACTGCATTAATCAACTGAATGACTAAGTGACTACAGATATTGGGCCACATTCATGAAACTTTAAGGCCTTCTTACAAACATTTTTGGTATTCACAAAGGTTTTTCTTAACTAAAAATGTTCTCTGGAAGAACAAATTCTACAAACAGGCAGAACCAGAGCGCACTCTTGTGCACCCCTACCCCAGCTTCCCTCTGTGAATGTGTTCATGTGAGGTTGGGCATTTGAAATCTCTGATCAAGTTGTAAAACAGCTGTAGTCTGTAGACGCTCCACCTGATTTCTTCAGTCATTCTTTCGTTTTCACGCGTCATAATGCAAAAACCATATTGGCCATTATTGGAAGTTCAGAGGGTGTTTCTAACCAAATACATTCATTCATACATTCATTTTCCATGTAAATGAAATGTAAATGAGCATGGAGGTGTTCGTATCTGGGTGTTGGTGATTTTGGCAAAACTGTGACTTAAGAAATAGTTTGCGAGCTTAAGAACGCTTTGTGAATCTGGAGCAGAGTTCTCTGAACATCTTCTTAAAGTGGAATTTACAAAGACTTTTTAAGAAAAGATGAATGTATGAGGCTTGTTGTTCTTAACCCTATTTTGTCGTTCCTCTTCCTTCCTCAGGCGTCTGCATTGTACGAGGAACTACATCCACATGCACCTGTTTGTATCCTACATGCTGCGCGCTGTTAGCATCTTTGTCAAAGACATTGTGCTGTACTCGGGCTCTGCCATTGAAGACATGCACCGCGTCACTGTGGAAGACCTCAAGTCCATCACAGAGGCGCCCCCTGCTGACAAGACACAGTTTGTGAGTAAAAATGCATATATACAAATACATACATAAAAAAAAAAAAAGGTTAAAGATGCACTATGTAACTTTTGGGTCATTGGTCTGTCACTTGCTTGTTTCTGTGTATACTATATCATGTTCTACCTTACATACTGTATATTCAATTACAGGTGGTTTTATAGCTTAAAAATACCTAGAAAAACAAACATTATGACTGTGAACGGGGTCACCTCTCCACAGATCTGAACCATAACTTGGTCAGGTTTAGTCTCCATGAAGATAGAAAGGTTTAATGCAGGGGTGTCAAACTCATTTTGGTCCGGGGGCTGTATCCAGCCTACTTTGATCCCAAAGGGGCCAGAAAAAATATATGTACCCCAAAAATAGCAATAAGTTCAAATATTTGTGCAGAGAAACACTATTACAATTTTTTTTCTTAATTGATGAACTCTTTCTTACAAAATATTATAATATCGTGAACAACCCGAAACTTTAAGAAACATGCAATTTCAACACAATGTTTTAACATGAACTTGTATGTAAATAGGAATAAGTACATCTTTGTTGTAAAATCCTGCACTCGGCTCCACTTTTCTCATGTTGTTGATGAGGGTGTCACGGTCAACAGTCAAAACGATCGTCCTTTAAGAGCGTTTTGAAAGAGACAAGTCTTCATTTGTGCTGTTCTGGTGGGAGGGGCCACGTACAGAGACGCTGGAGACACTGCTGTGATAAACACCACAGAAAATTAACTATATTTTAATAGAAAATATAATATTTTAGTAGAAAATCAGTCGATTGCCGAATAAAAGGCCTTGGAGGGCCGGATCTGGCCCCTGGGCCGTATGTTTGACCCCTGGTTTAATGCCATACTGTGAAACATTCCAGACAAAGCAATACAAAGCAACATCTCCAGGGAAAGAAGCATTTGATGGGCTCTCCACCAGAAAAGTTACAAAATGCACCTTTAATGACAAGCTTCAAGTGCAGCGGAGAGAAAGTATGTTTTTGTTGGCATTGGCACATGATTGTAGGATTTTGGAAATTTGATATTTAAGTTAGTGTTCATAGAAATGCAGTACAAGTTGGAGCTAAAATACTGCAAGTATTACAAATGTATTATTTATTTACTTTCTAACTGCATGTCCCGCCGGGAGGAGGCCCCGGGGAAGACCCAGGACACGCTGGAGGGACTATGTCTCTCGGCTGGCCTGGGAACGCCTCGGGGTCCCCCTGGAGGAGCTGGAGGACGTGTCTGGGGTGAAGGAAGTCTGGGAGTCCCTGCTTAGGCTGCTCCCCCCGCGACCCGGCCCCGGATAAGCGGACGAAAATGGATGGATGGATGGATACTTTCTAACTTCTGGTGGTTTGCACAGTTTCCAAGCAGAAGGTCAGAGGGTCCATTCCCACTCAGACCAAGTTTTGCCATTGTGTCCTTAGGCAAGACACTTCACTAACCTTGCCTAATATGAAAGTGATATGCATCAGTCTGACCCAGGGCAGGGGCAAAATCTGAAATAATAATAATTTTCACAATAAAAGTGGGTTCGGGGGTTATACAAAGATCTTCTCAATACCAAAATGGAACAGAACTTGTGTGATAACGAACATTTTTTTGGTTCAGATTTGGTCCTCTCTCTAAACCCAGGCTGGTTTTGACTAGAAAGCTCCAGCAAAAGCAAAACAAAAGTATTATTTTTCTGAAATAAGATAATTAATTTCTCAGGTGCAAGATTAAAGGTTGTAAAGTTACACTGTATTTCATTTGAAGAAAGCTTTTGTAGTTGATCTTTCTTAACTTTTACCAAATTAAAATGTGGAAAGTGAAAATTAAAAACCCACACTATAATTATGAGGAAATGACATGAACTTTCATGTTCACTAGCCACTGTTTTTTAAGAATATCTGTCAAAAAATTATAACTACAATATTCAGAAGCTAATAAATCGATCTGATTTTTGTGTGTTTTCATCGCAAACAGAAATCTGATCATTAAAAATACCTTGTGACATGTGTCAGTAAATCAGTTGATTTTTAGAGTACAGTGATCCCTCGTTTATCACAGGAGTTATGTTCTAAAAATAACCCGTGATAGGTGAAATCCGTAAAGTAGTCAACTTTATATTTTACAATTATTGTATCTGTTTTAATGCTGTAAAACCCCTCAGCACACACTTTAGACACTTTTTTCAGACAGGACAGTTACAACACTTTTTACACCCTTCTTAAAACTTATTGCTGTTGTCGTCCTTATGTTATTTTCGTCCTTCTTTATGTAACGAATCAAAGACTCATTTATTCCTTAATGGAGCCCTACAGAGAACGGGCCCATTTCTGGAGACCCGTGCAGTACGACACCGCAGTACGACACCGCAGTACGACACCGCAGTACGACACCGCAGTACGACACCGCAGTACGACACCGCAGTACGACACCGCATGTGCCCGTTAACCCGAGATTATATCAAACTTTTGCACTGCTTATACCACGGACTGAACCAAGACTAAACCAGGACTAACCCAGAACTAATCTAGAACTGATTCCAAGACTGAAGAGGAGGAATAAACTAGGACTAAAGTAGCAGTAAACCAGGACTAACCCAGGACTAATATAGAACTGATTCCAGGACTGAAGAGGAGGAATAAACCAGGACTAAAGTAGCAGTAAACCAGGACTAAACCAGGACTAAACCAGAACTGAAACAGGACTCACTGTTGGGATGGGCTTGGAGGTGACTGCAGGAGCAAAGGACCGAGGGAGAGCTCCACAGCTCAAGGAGGTAAATGCGGCAATTGCCCGACCGACACCCTGCTCGGGGTTCTTTCTCTTAAGTCCAAGATTAGTCCCGGTTTAGACCTGGTTTAGTCCTGACCCACCCGTGTGTAATTACTACCTGCCTGTAATATGCAATATGCGTTCATATGCTTTAAAAAAACACATGCAAAATTGCACTAAAAAATAATCGACAAAAGGTGAACCGCGATATAGCGAGGGACGACTGTAACTGTTGTATTTGGATGACAAAATACAATGAATTTTGATTGATATATTGATATTTAGATCACCATGTTATCTTTTACTGCAGTGGAAATGCTGTATTTGCCTCACAACATGTTCAGTTAGTTTCCGTTTGCTCCACACGCTAAGTCACTCTCCCTTTAGAGCGCTATAACAACGAAATTGGTGTCCATTGCTGGTGTCCACTGGGCTAATCAAACTACTGCCCATTACATCAGGCTTGGGAAGTTGTAGTGTGTTATGTTTCCTGTTTTTGTATATTGATGGAATTTTTAACATGTAGTTTGTGTAGGTCTTAGACACAATCGTACTACTAACCACAAGGAGAGTTTAAAGAGAGCATAGAAGAGTTCTCTAGATTACTCAAACATGCATGGATGACATCTAAAACCACTTCAGGCATGTTTTGCTGAGGAAGAATAGAAGAATACATTCTAATTTTACATTGCACTTGCTGATATCTGTCTTCTGGCCAGCTAGGGAGGCTGGAGATATGGAGGGATGGAGGGCACCAGGGAAGTTTTTTTTGTTGTTGTTTTTTTTGTTGTTGTTGAAGCATAATTTTAAAGGTGCACTGCGTAACTCTTCTGGTCTTCCCCCTGCTTGTCGCCATGTAGATGTTATTGCTTTGCCTGGAATGTTGCTCAGTATAGCATTAAACATTCATCTATCATTTATTTAATTATGGATCTTTTAATTGAAAAAAAAAAAAGAACATACCAGTGATGTCTCCGTGGAGATAGCAGTAACATCTGCATAGACACAAACAGCTGCTTTTTCAGGTTTACCTTGTGCACATAAAGTCATTTTTGGACTTGGATTCAAACAATAAATGTGTTGTGAAAGATAGGCCACAGCTGATGCTCCAGGTGCTGCCGTCTCTGCTCGGTTCACTGTTGTGTGTTAGATCAGGTGCCCAGTCAAAATGATTAAACGGACATCAGCACAGCTCAACAGGGAGGAGGACAAGTATGCATCAGGGGTGAAGAATTAGTGTTATCACAGGAGAAACAAATACTGACAGCTCTGATAAATAGACTCAAAGACACTCTCAATAGAGACGTCTCATTTGTAGTTGTACTTATTTATTTATTAAAGGGACAATGCATATTAAAAGACAAGGTAATGTAAGTGACAAACATGTACTTGCAAATATGCAGGATTGTAGCCAAAGCTCATTTCCTTCCTTAGTCCCTGCTGGACCAAGGCCACATCAGCTGCACACTTCATAAAACATGACAAAAGCCTAGAACACCCACTCCCACATACCTCTCACTCATACACGGTAAAACACATTAATAATAATAATAATAATAATAATAATAATAATAATAATAATAATGATAATAATAATAATAATAATAATAATAAATAATAATACATGTACACTTGTATAGCGCTTTTCAAGATACCCAAAGACGCTTTACATGGGAAGACAAACAATGACAAACAAGAGAAAAAGACTGTTAATGAAAGTTTTTTTTAAAGAGATGTTTTTCAGGGCTTTTTTAAATATGGGGAGTGTGGATGAGTCTCTGATGTGTTTGGGGAGGGAGTTCCAGAGGGTGGGAGCAGCGGTGGAGAAGGCCCTGTCCCCCCAGGTCTTATGTTTCGTCCTGTTGGGGGGAGACAGGAGGTTGGCGTCAGCAAATCGGAGGACACGGGTCGGGGTGTGGTGGTGGAGGAGTTCAGAGAGGCAGGTGGGGGCCAGGTTGTGGAGGGACTTGTAGACAGTGGTGAGAAGTTTGAATTGGATGCTCTGGGGGATGGGGAGCCGGTGGAGATCTCTGAGAACACGGGTGATGTGTTCACGGGAGGAGGTGCGGGTGAGGATGCGGGCAGCGGAGTTCTGTATGTACTGGAGTCTACTGAGGAGTTTGGAGGGTGAACCGTAGAGCAGGCTACGGCAACAGGCTTCATCCAACAATAGGATTAAAATATAAACTATTAAAATATTCTGATGGGTTCTGGTAGTGGCTGTTTTGGATTTGACCAAGGT